TACACCTTACAGTGCAGTGTGATTTATCCACTGCTGATGCACATCATCCCAGGTTGGCAGCCATCATCAGGAAACAAAAACCCAATTGGTCACTCACTGGCCACACATAGTCACCATCAACAGGTCTGAGCCACTGTCAGAGCAACCACAAGTCAGCATTAATTAGCACAGGACCATGAAAAGTTAGAAAATAGACACTGGAGGCCGACATCAGGTGTAAGGTCTCTAAGATGCAGTCACTTTTTCCTTTGATCATTGATGAATCACACCTTCTGACTTGATTGAATAGACCTGTCACACTTAATTCGCAAAAAGGTTTATCTATGCCTTCCCCAGCATTCAAGGCCTGCCAAGTTTGTGAAAGAAACTGGGTGGGTGACTGCATAGTTTAAACAGTCATTATCTGACACTGAGAAAAACATCACAAGACCATGTTCAACAGAAAAAATTGATCCGATCATTATTGCTGTGAATGCATGTTCTATATACATTGCAAACTCATGAACACACTTGGGGGGTTGAAGGTTATTTTTGTGTGCATATGGAATTCTTCTAAAGGACTACTGGGGGGGGGGGGGGGGGTTGAAGATCTTTTTTGTTTGAAGTCACGTGGTTTGTTGTATGGCAGAAAGCTACATGCACCACCAGTGTGCTGTTGGGAGTCTGCTCCCTCTAATGACAGTGATGCCCACATCACCTCGGTCGCGAAACCAGTCACAGCTATCACATGGAAACTAGTGACTGCCAAACAGAAGAAAGCACTGATGTCAGTTACTTGAGTATGGTTCAGCAATGTGTATTCCCTTTAATCATGACCATTGAAAAGTGGAACCTGCTGATGCACTTGGGAATATGGCATACTGTCCCGCCTGCCCGATGATAACCATTTGTTGTTTCAGAGATGGAACCCGGATATGGGGGTGGAGAATCCTTTTTTGATGAATATCAAGCTATATCCAACAAGCTAAAGAAGTAAGTCGGCGGACGCTTGGGCATAAACATGACCCATAGAGCAGAGTTGTGTGTTGACTGGTGGGAACGTTACTGAGTAGAAGAGGAAGAACTGGCTTCCGACAGCCCAGGTTGAAAAGTGGGGGGTGGGGGGCAGTGGTATGCGGAGCAGTATCGCGGCGAGAGAGAAAGAGATCATTATCTGAGATCCGAGGTCCGAGATTGATTGTCCTGCCTGCTATGGTCCTGCAGAGAGGGACTTGCTTGCCCAGCGGCCCCAGGCTGTAGCGATGCGTGAGGTAGGAGTGAAACAGCTGTGTATGGCTGAATCATGCGGATCCAGTTGGGGCTTAACATCGCACCGACTGGTGCCCCGAGAAAGTGACTGTGGGCAACGGTGGCCGGCCCCCACCCATAGTCGGCATCTCACTCAAACCCAAGCAGTACATGCCGGTACAGCCGGCAGTGACGCGCGAGACTGGCTGCCACGCTCGCCCGCCTCACATTTGCAGACGTGTCCGCCTCCATCCCACGAAATGGCGCGTCATCTGCGTGTTGTGGCACTGGCAACACTACACCCACGTGTGCACCCCGGCACGGCGCAGGCACGTCCGTCACGACCGCCGGTCTCCGTCGGGCCGACTGACGCCGGGTCCGAGGCCCGCGGCGCGTCCGCCCCCGCTACCCCGGGTGTCATGCGGCAGAGTTCGCCGGAGAGCCGTGCGGAAGGCTAGACCCCCTCCCTCCGCAGTAGATCCCTGAATCTGGCCGACCGGGCGTGGCGAGGGATTTCTCATGAAACGTTTGGTCTGGACGAGCCTTTCTGTTTTGACTCACTCGCTATGCCCCTACTTTTATGCATCTTTCCATTGGCCTTATTCATTGTAATGTAAGGCGTATCAGGCACAGTTGTAACTTAATCCAGTGCCAACGGTGGCTCAATGCACTCTCCTGCTGATGTGAACATTACCCTCTGTTACATGAAGCTCGTATCGACCCGATCCGAATATGGCTGCGCCTCAGGTGTGGGCTGTGTTGGCCGAGTGCACCCCAGGTGTGGGCTGTGTTGGTCAGGTGCGCCCCAGGTGTGGGCTGTGTGGGCCGGGTGCACCCCAGGTGTGGGCTGTGTTGGTCAGGTGCGCCCCAGGTGTGGGCTGTGTGGGCCGGGTGCACCCCAGGTGTGGGCTGTGTTGGTCAGGTGCACCCCAGGTGTGGGCTGTGTTGGCCAGGTGCGCCCCAGGTGTGGGCTGTGTTGGCCGGGTGCACCCCAGGTGTGGGCTGTGTTGGTCAGGTGCGCCCCAGGTGTGGGCTGTGTGGGCCGGGTGCACCCCAGGTGTGGGCTGTGTTGGTCAGGTGCGCCCCAGGTGTGGGCTGTGTTGGCTGGGTGCGCCCCAGGTGTGGGCTGTGTTGGCCGGGTGCGCCCCAGGTGTGGGCTGTGTTGGCCAGGTGCGCCCCAGGTGTGGGCTGTGTTGGCCGGGTGCGCCCCAGGTGTGGGCTGTGTTGGCCGGGTGCGCCCCAGGTGTGGGCTGTGTTGGCCAGGTGCGCCCCAGGTGTGGGCTGTGTTGGCCAGGTGCGCCCCAGGTGTGGGCTGTGTTGGTTAGGTGCGCCCCAGGTGTGGGCTGTGTTGGCCAGGTGCGCCCCAGGTGTGGGCTGTGTTGGCCGGGTGTGCCCCAGGTGTGGGCTGTGTTGGCCGGGTGCGCCCCAGGTGTGGGCTGTGTTGGCCGGGTGCGCCCCAGGTGTGGGCTGTGTTGGCCGGGTGCGCCCCAGGCGTGGGCTGTGTTGGCCGGGTGCGCCCCAGGTGTGGGCTGTGTTGGTCAGGTGCGCCCCAGGTGTGGGCTATGTTGGCCGGGTGCGCCCCAGGTGTGGGCTGCGTGGGCCGGGTGCGCCCCAGGTGTGGGCTGTGTTGGCCAGGTGCGCCCCAGGTGTGGGCTGCGTGGGTCGGGCTGAGCAGCGCTGGTCCGCGCGCAGGCGGTTCCTGCGCAAACCGAACGTCTCGGAGGCGAGCGAGGAGTTCGGCCGGCTGGCCGGCCGGCTGCAGCAGGCCGAGCTGCCCGAGTACGCCGGCCTGACGCAGCTGGCGCGCGCCCGCTGCCAGGAGACGCTCGGCAGCCGCACCGCAGAGACTGACGCGCTGACGGCGGCGGCGCGCCACTTCCTGCAGGTGAGCCGGGCCGGCCGACACCGGCCGCCGCCCTCCGGCGTCCGACGAGCCGGCCGACACCGGCCGCCGCCCTCTCCTCCGGTGTCCGGCGAGCCGGCCGACACCGGTCGCCACCCTCCGGTGTCCGGCGGGCCGGCCGACACCGACCGCCGCCCTCCCCTCCGGTGTCCGGCGGGCCGGCCGACACCGGCCGCCGCCCTCCCCTCCGGTGTCCGACGGGCCGGTCGACACCGTCCGCCGCCCCCGCCCCCCCCCCCCCCCCCTCTCCGGTGTCCGGCGGACCGGCCGACACCGGCCGCTGCCCTCCCCTCCGGTGTCCGATGGGCCGGCCGACACCGGCCGCCGCCCTCTGGCGTCCCCCAGGCCGGCCGCCACCCTCCGGCGTCGGCAAGGACCTCTGGGGTCGGGGCACGCCGATGCCCTGATCTCCGGAAGAGGCCCAGTCGGCCTTGTCGAGGCGAGGCGGGGGAGAAGTCGCCCCCGCTTCGCCAGTGGGATTGTTACCAGAGGCCGCCGGGTAGTCGGCAGGAGCTGGTACAGCCTCCGCCGTCTGTATGGTAGTGAGGCTAGTGTTTGTGTCGCTGCTCTGGCGGCGTTGCTCGGCCGGGGCGCGCCGGTGACCGCTCGTCGCCGGCCTGACACCGGCGCTGCTCTGGCTGACCGCAGGCACACCGGCAGCTGGCCGAACAGCGCGACGCCACGGCCGGGCCGCAGCTGCAGGCGGCCGTCAGCCTCTACAACGCCGTCATCCACCAGCAGCTGGAGGCGCAGCGCGGCCTGCTGGCTGCACGTGCCTGCCTGGAGCTGGCGCACGCGCTGCGCCGGCTGGGCCGCGGCCGCCAGGCGCTGCTGTACTTCCAGGACGCGGCTGACCTGCAGGCGCCGCCGGGCTCGCTGGAGAGCCGCCGGCTGGCCGCTCAGTGCCAGCTGGAGCTCGGTCAGTGCAGCGGCGCCGCCGGGCTCGCTGTAGAGCCGCCGGCTGGCCGCTCAGTGTCAGCTGGAGCTCGGTCAGTGCAGCCGTTCCCTGCCTGCCAGCTCCGGCGGACATCCGCGACAGGACTCTCTTCACAGAGTGCACCCCGTGGTGTGGGACTCACAGGGTTGTGCCTTTGTGACATATGTGGTGTTTTTTGGCTTATGGATCTATTCCTTTCGGGCGGGGTGCGGTAGCACCCCAGCGGATTGGTAGGCAGGTAGGTTTTACTTTTGGGTAAGTACCCAACTTAACTACCAGATGCTAATATGATGCCGCCAACAGGCGCTCAGGTTTAAGGGCTGTAACGTCTCAAGTCGCTTCATAGGCGGCCCTCTCCATTGCGGACGTGTGATGGCAGTTTGTGCCCCCCGCAGTGGATCTGGAGGCGGCCCTGTCCACGCTGGACGACATGCACGCCTCGGTGCAGGAGTGCGGCGGTCGGCCGGCCGTCGGGGTCTGCAGCACCTACCTCAGATGGTGAGCCGGATCGACCAGCTGCGAGGCACCACTGATGAGCCGGCCTGGCGCACCACCACCGTCCCACTGATCAGCCGGCCTGGCGCACCAACACCACTATCCCAGCCTGGCGCACCACCACCGTCCCACTGATCAGTCGGCCTGGCGCACCACTACTGGCCCACTGCTAGCTGGCCTGGCACACCACCACCACCGCCCCACCGATCAGCCGGCCTGGCGCACCACCACCGTGCATCCATTGAAAGTGTTAGACGTAATCTTGATAAATTAAACGTCTGTTGATGGCTTCCTATGAATGCGTTTCGAACATGTTACGAGGCATTTTACCGGTAAAGTTCCGGGCTCAGCCCATGATCACATATTAAGCTCGAATGCACGTGCTATTTGTGCGTGGCTTTAAGGTATCCACTGAGCATCGATGTTTCCACTCTATACATGTTGGCACGCATGTTCAGGCTACAGTGCGAGCTAGTGTGAGGACACCCGGTGAGCTACTGTGACGACATTGGGTGACCCTACACGCACGCTCGCCGCGCGCGGCGTCGCTATATGTCAGCGCGTGGTTCGGTCAGCGGTGCGGTGACCGCCAGGTGCGAGGTGAGCCAGCTGCTGCTGCTGCTGGCCATGGAGCCGCCGGCCGCGCAGCGGAAGCCGGCCCACACCCGGCTGCTGGAGAGCTTCGGCGGCGGCGAGACGACGCGGCAGAGAGGTAATTCAGCCAGGTCCGCTCACCAGCCCAGTCCGGAGGAGTCCGGAGCGCGCGCGTGCGCGTGTAGTATTATAATCATCTGACAGTATAGGCATACATTTTCTTACTTTCCACTTTGCACGCCACCCGTGCAGAATCGGCGAGGCTTCCCGCGTGGAGCGTGGGACGGTAGGCGAGCCGGTCATTGTCTGAAGCTCCCCCACGCCGCGCCACACATGACCATTAGGACGAGAGGAGGGCGCGGATCGGCCTGAAGCTCCGGTGATAAACCCGCGTCAGCATAGCGACGCCAGGTGTCCCCCGGATCGGCCATGACGGTGGCCTCTTCTACCGAAATAGACCATCACGTCAAAGGGGAACGCCTGCCCTCCGCCGGCCGATCAAGATTAACGGACGCGAGAAGCCGGACCACCGGCGAAACATGCGCGTAGAGGTGTTTGTCTGACATGAAGATATGTGCCGCTGTGCCACGAGAACCCCGCCTCGCCGGCGCCGCAGTCACCCCAGCTGGCGTCAAACGCGCCACGCCACGTGGGAACTGGGCCAGAGGGGACGCGCAGGTCCCGCCCGAGGCGAGAGCGGGCGGGCCTTGCATCGTCGCCAGCGACGCCACGCCCGAGGTTTGGCCCAGTGGCACGTTGGGGGGGGGGGGGGGCGAACTATGAAAGCAGCGCAGGCCGGCCGGGCAACGCATTGGACGGAGGGGGTGAGGCGGCAAAACTATTGGACCGCGCGAGGAAACGAGGGTGGGCCGACCCAGTTGGGAGACTCATGGAAAATTGCGGATGGTGCGGAGGGAGAGAGTCTCAAGAGGAGAGTCTCAGTGGATTCCCGGGGAGGCACTGGAGGAGTGGGGAGTCTACTGGGGAGTCCCGAGGAGTGAGGAGCGCGGAGGAAAAGTGGTGGTGGCAACGAGGCGGCGATATCTGGCTCCGCGGACAGCGGGACACCGGCGACAACGTGCACGTGTGAGTCCACAAGCTGTGGTCCCAATCCTTCCGGGTCATGGACGGGTGGCGCTCCCGTGTCCCTTGACCCCCTCCTCACCGGGCGGGCGCGGGCCACGGCCACCTCCCCCCCCCCTTGCAGTTACGGGGGGGGGGGGGGCACCGGCCATGCGACCCTCCCTGCTGGGCAGTGTGTCTCGAGTGCTCTCCCATAATTAAAGGGGGTAGGGTCATGGCGTGTCGCGTGGTTCGTCCATGTCTCTGTCATTGTTTTGTACATGCAGGTGGCGGTCCGCGTTTTAAATGGCTTAGCGTGGAAGCGGGGCTGGGAGTGATTCGGCCAGGCGGTGACGGGCACTCGCGCCCGGCGTGGGTGGGCATGGTGACCGAGGCCGTTAACACGTCGTCGTCGTTGTTTTGGGGGTTTTGTGGCGCACTCAGCTGCTCAGGCTGTATGGCGTCGTCTGCCTCTCACTCCGGCGGGAAAGGCGGGCACTGCGGGGAATCGAACCGCGAGCCTCTGGTTTTCCAAGTGTGAGGCCGTTAACACCCGCTTCGGCGCGACGGCTCGCCCATTAGCCCGCGCCGAGGCTATCTTGATTTTCGTCGGAGGCGGCCACGTGGAGGCGCAGCTCGTCATGGCCCCCGTCTATCCCGCGTCGCGGCCTGGCGCGGCGTACTGGCCGCGCCTACATATTCCTTAAAGTCTCCTTTCATTATGGCGTTAATGAGTGGGCTAGTGGGGCGGTTTAACTTTTCTGATTCTCTTATAACTTGTTTTCTGATCGATCGGGCGGCGGAACCCCTGCCGGATCTCATCCAGCGCAGCCACGTGGATTTCGCCATGCGTGCGCTGTCCTTTCCCTGTATTTTATTGTTTGTCAGGCCCGAGTTATTATCTGACTGCGTGGCATTCGTGCGCGTGTCTTTTGTTGCACTCTTTTGAGGTATCGACGCGGTCAACTGTCGCCGGACGGTCAGACTTTCGTCCGATACCCAACATGCTGTCCTCTCCCGAATACCGAACCATATAGAGACCGTAGCCGAAGGGTGATAGGCGCAGAACGCGCCCGAGCAGCACGACTCGACTATGGAAGGTTGTGGAACCAGACGACCGCAGTTCTACTTTTACGCAGATGTACGTTTGTGGGCAGCGCGACTCGAAGGCACAGTTTCGCTCTTGTTTGGACGAAGACACGTTCGGCTCGTTTTTGTTGACTTTCACAACCTGAGGCGTGACGTCATGAAGGGCATAGATCATGGTTTGACGAAAGACCAGTGGGGACCGCCCGGGATGCCGGATCATGCACGGCGGTAGCTGGATCTATCTGTTGGTGTACCATGCCTTAGGAGAGAACAGGACACAGCGTGCTCTCTTCCGACGTGGTGTACGTCAGGCCTTATGCTTGATGGCGGGATGTTCGGGACAGATAGAGGTCCTGCCATCGACGCTCATAGGAAGGGCGACAAGGGACCGGGTCGCCGGACAGGCCGGTCCTGCCGAGTCTCCAGAGCGCGCCGGCCGAGGAGACCGTAAGGCGTGAACGCTGGTCACGCCGGGCGCTCGTCTCCTGAGGGGCTCCAACGTCCCGTCGGGCGCGCTGTCCGCCTCCAGGCCTCTGAGCGACGCGTCCTGGGGCGGTGCCTTACAAAGCTTGCTCCGGCAGACGGAGGCGAGGGCGCAGAGGCGCCGGAGGTGACGCCTCCGTGCTGGACGAGGCGCTGCCTAAGGCGCGTGCACAGCAGCGGAAAGCTGCGAGCGGGGGTGGCTGAATGTGGTATAGGCCGCGCACCTTGGACGGAGCGCAGGAAGTGTCGTCCGATCAGTGAGCCGTCACCCTGGAGGTCGGCGAGGGAACGAGTCGCCGTTCAGCTTCGGACACCTGATGTCGGCCCAGTAGCTGCACCGGTGCCGAGCTGACAAATCAGCTTATGATTCAAATAGTGCTTAAACGTGGCTTTAGTAAACATTTTAAATGTGACATAGATACAAGTTAGCTTAACAAGGACTCACACAGACGAGCGAATTATAATGCCAAGGCTCTGGATAAAGGGGGAGGGGATGTCCCATCCCCGTGGGAGCAGAGAATGAGTGGAGTGGCGTGGGCGCCAGTGGATGTGAATGCCTGGAGCGAGTGTGGTGAGGCGCCGAATGCGTGGAGTCTGCGCGGATCAGTTAAGGCTGAGGTGGGGGGGGGGGGGGGGGAGGGGGCTCCCAGGTCCGTTATCCAGCCTGCCCTTGCCAATATAATTCGCCATTTGCGTGTGATCCCTACCAGTTGGGCGTATTATAACTACATCTGGTCCGTTTTTGCCCCGTTTAAATATTACCGTCAGCTGAAAAGGCTGAGGTGGGATACCGTGGTTAAGGGCGCACAGCCATGTGCGGGGAGGGAACCGTTCATGGCGCCTGACCGGACCTACCATCCCGCCAGTACCCCGGTCACCCACCTCATCCCAGCTCTGTGGCTCACAGGAGTGTGTGTTGATGTCGGGTGTATCGGAGTTACAATGGGCCGAATTGTACACTAATATTATTTGGTTCGTATGCTGACCAATGGGGTCCTCATTATAAATTCGCTCTCGTGAGGAGGTGTGACAGCAGCAACCGGTGGCCCACAAACATCCAGCGGCGGCCCGGCAGCAGCGCAGCGCAGCCGCCCATCACGGACTCCCCCCCCCCCACACATACACACAACAGCAGTGACACCCAATTATGTGAACTACGCATAGTTTCATGGGCTGTGTTCAGATTCTAGGCACGCCTTTTTCATTGACTTGAAGTGCGCTGCTGGTCTGCTCACCACGACAACGGCTGGGTGGTGCTACGGATCGGGCCGGCGGTCTGTGCAGCCGTGCTGAGTGTGGCCGTCGCTCCGGCCGGCGGTCTGTGCAGCCGTGCTGAGTGTGGCCGTCGCTCCGACCTGCGGTCAGAGCAGCCGTGCTGAGTGTGGCCGTCGCTCCGGCAGGAGGCCACATCGGCGAGTCGCTCCGCCTGCTGCTGCAGTCGCTGACGCTGGCAGTGCGCCGGCGCCACCTGCCGGCGCTGTACGCCCTCGAGGGCGACCTGCGGCCCCTGCTCGACGACAGTCAGCGCCAGCTGCTGTCCCGGCTAGTGCAGCAGGTGGAGACGCGCCAGCGAGCCGAGCGATGAGCGCGAACGGTGGCGGTCCGCCGCCGGACGCGCGGCTCGGTGGCTGGTGACCTGCCGCCGCCGAGCCGCCGCGCCAGGGAGACGACGGCTCCGGCGGTAGTCGATCGTGCAGGGGTCGTACCCCGTGATGACGTACCGGACGCCAGCGGCCGACGGCCTGCTGGTGACCTGCCGCCGCCGCCGCCGCGCCAGGGAAACGGCGACTCCGACGATAGCCGATCGCGCAGGGGTGGTTCCCCGTGATGACGTGCCGGACGCCAGCGGCCGACGGCCTGCTCGGAGCCGGGGCCGGCCGTGTTCACGGAGGACCCGCTGTGGAGAGCGAGCCGTGCTCGTCCCAGGAAGGACGGCCCCCGGCGGGGCGGTGCAGAACGGTGGGCCAGCCTGTGATCTGTTATGTGTTGTTTTTAGTGATATGGGATGCTATGGCTTCTTGTGATAATATGCAGAGATGTACTACAAGCGAGGTTGCGCAGCGGTTTTGATGGTTTGTGGCCTGTGTTGTCTTCTGTCGTTAAAATATATTCTTCATAGTTCGTGTTTGTTTTAAGATTCCGCATCTATGAAGGTACGCACACGACGTGGCTACTAACCTCAGCTCTACGTGTGCTAAATATGCTTCCCCGTCATGTTTCCTCGAACAGTATGCACGCGCTGCGCAAACGCGCGTCCTTTGTGCGTGAAAAAGTGCTGCGGTGACAATTTCGCACGGCTGATTTGGCCGCACCTCAACTTCATACAATCGTTTCATGACGACGTTAAACAATGACGTATTGGACAACATGATTGGAAGCAATCGAGGAGCAATGTTATCGTCCAGCTGTTCAGATCTGGCGTCCGTCGGCACGATTTCCAAATATTGTGAACGTTAACCAGCTGGAATAATGTTGGCAGTATCTGAACGCTTAAAAAATATCTATGACGCAATTACATAATGACGTATTGAGGAGCATCTGTACTGCACAGGGAAATGCTGTTGTCTGGAGCAGTCTCCTACACTTAAAAATGATGTTCCACATTTGTATGGGGTTTGTGGTTTGTAGGTTTGTGTATGTTTGTATGCATGGGGTTTTCCACATTGGTACTGAAGTATCCACCTTGAAGCTCATTCAGTGCAGTTCACAGCCCTGCGCTCCGTAATACCTAAGTTTCTCTAGTTCCTGGGCTACAGCCGGCGAAGATGCACAGACCATTTCGGGGAGACTTCCAAGGTAACCCAGGCATCCATGACGCTATAATCGCGTCATTCAAATCCTGTTGTCCTATTGGCCATGATCAAGGCCAATAAAAATGTTTTTGTCGAGTCGTTCATATCTGGCGTTCGTGAGCACTAGTTCCAAGTATGACGGCTGCCTATTGGCAAGGTTATGCAAGGCGTTGTGCGATTACGTAGCATTACAATGACGTATTGAGGAGCAAAATTACCCAACACAAATTGTATTGGCTAGAGCAGCCCTTACCATTTAAATGTATAATAACAGTTATATGTGAGCTTATTTAACGATATGTGACGCTTACTTCAGTGTATTTAAATATGGGACATTCTGCTCAAAAAGGACACCAATAGTTATAAATGAGCTTATTTCATCATATATGGTTTTGTATATATGTTTTATACGTTTTTATCACATATGTTTTCATCATCATGATTATTGTTTCAACATCCTTAAATGAGAAACATTCACGTTAAAGGAATGCTTCACTGAATAAAAGTGAGATAAATGAATGAAATCGAATGTTCAAAAATCCTTCAGTTGCCCTCACTGTACTATCGTCGTCGTAGGGGAGACATGGTAACAGTGTACCAGCTGTTTCACGGAAGTGTGTTCCTGTCGGAAGAGAAGTTCCTGACAAAGCACAACTCGGAGGCGACGAGAGGACACCAATGGAAGCCCAGAAAACCTCGAGCTAGGACTCTCGTCCGTCATAACTCGTTCAGCACGCGGGTTGTCAACGACTGGAACGCTCTTCCACACCCGGTCGTGTCGTCGACCTCAGTTGAACAGTTCAAGTCTAGGCTTGATACGCACTGGGCTGACATCACGTACGACGTCCCACACTGAATCTTCCCATAATTTGAGACTGTTTGGTTACCGGACCGGGAGCCTGACGAGACCAGGACCTACAGGCCTAGTGGCCTTTTACAATTCCCGATCACCATAAGGTAAGATAAGGTAAGGAATGAATAGATGAATGAATGGAATAAAAAGAGGCGAAACCAAACCAAAGTTGAAATATCACGGAGTATTTTTGAACTATTATGTACATCTCCGAGGACGCAAATTGAAGTAGCTTTTATTCGGAGAGGAATCAGCCTTTTGGGGGTAGGTTCGGTGAACCTTATCGCCTTAGCCCCCCCCCCCCCCCCCCCCACGTTCTAAAGAGTGACGCTCCCCCAACTCAATATGTATGGCGCCACCCATCACGTATGTAGGTGTGTACCCCGCAAATAGGCAAACTTGAGGTTCTTTAATAATATACGCATGCAAACCATGGTGTGCTAGTACAACCCATCCCAGAAATGTAAAGTTGAGCGCGATCGGCCCGAAGCAGGCGGTAGTGGTAAATTGTGTTATTCATGACTTACTTGTAGAAAGAAAACTTTTGATCCAATTGATCCATGATCATTTAGTTTACTTTGCGCTATCTGCGAAGTAGTGTCTTTCTTTTGTTACAAGTTTTCTTTTCATGAGGTCAATAGTTTTTGCCACAATATTTGGAGTGTATTGTGACAGTAAATTAGTTCGACCTGCTGGGCAGCTGCATACTTAAATGCGATCTGGACGCAGCAAAGACCTTCATGCCGCATCCACAAACATCGGCTCTGCCCCGCTTGTAAAAGTCGTTATGATAGTGACCTGTAATAGACAAAGAGTGGGGTGTAGGGGAAGGTGTGCATGAATAGGAAATTCACCGGTATTTTCATGTAGTGGAGATTGCTTGACTGGTCAAGTCACCGAGGCGACTTTGTCAAAAAGATTGGTCAAAATTCACAGATATGGAGCGAACTAAGACGGCCAAGAAGCCACAGACTGGTGACGAGCCAAAGCTTAGTGCGCAACAGCTGAAGGAGATGGGAAACGCTTTTTTTGCCACAAGAAAATTCAATGATGCCATTGCCTGCTACAGCAAAGCTATTGTAAGTGACTGGTGGCTGGGTATTCCCAAGTGGTTAGACCAGTGCAAGTCCTAAAAAGTCCATTTTCTGTACTGGATGCTTACATGAATTTGGTGTTCTGAGTCTGGAAAGCGCTTGCTCCTATTCATTCTGGGTCAAATTGTGCTCAATTTTAGACTGATAAGATAGGCTATATGTGCAAAGACTGGGTCTGACCATGCAAACAAACTCACTGCCAAAACACATGATTTAACTACTCCTTTGATAATGTTTATTTGGGGGAAGATTGATTGTTAAAACATGAGATATCCAATTTTGCTGTGTTAGTCATGAACAGCTGAAAATTTTCTGAACAGTAATAAAAGGATGCATGGGTTCCCACTACAGTTTTCTCAGGTATGTTACAGCAGCCAATATGACTGCTCCAAACCTTTGATTTTCATATGGTGTTCATAAGGGAGGGACACTTACATGTAACAAGTCAAAGAAGCAAGTTCATAAAAAAGCAAGGATGCAGAAACCTTCAAAATGGTATGTGAGGGGGGAGGGGTGGGAAATAAAACTAGAATGGAAACAAAGGGTCTTCCCCTCCCCCACCATCACCATGTCCTGGATGCACACCAGGTTACCTAAATCCCATATGTATTACATACCTTGCTCTTAACAAGTTTTCTTGCTGAAGAACCATGTTAAATGGGTGAACAGCAGTATTCCTGCCCTGATGTGCTGTAGTTTGAAGTACTATTCCTGACATTCATGTAGTCTGTGCAGAAAATACAAGGGCAAGGTTAGCCTCATTACTTATCAAAATGCAAAATTCAGCTAAGGAGAATTCAGTTGTGGTGTTGCATGAACCTTTCAACCCAGGCTTGGATAGTATGCTGGTGAAAATTTAGGTTGATATGAAAAAGGCATGTCAGGATCATATCAGAGGCATGTCAGCTTAGGTCCCAAAATGGATGTGTCAAAAATCCTCCCTTGGTTTTGCCTGGTGTAAATGTATTGGCAAACAAGCAAGTCAACCAAGTAACATGATGAAACTGACCCAATATTTGTATGCTGATATGCACATGACAGACACTAACTGCTGCTCTTCATGATGAAACTGACCTGGTGATGAACATGAACATTTAACATGATAAAAATGTTTGTATGCTGGTATGCACATGACAGACACTAACTGCTGCTCTTCAGCACCACATCTTATGGTGTGATGTCTTTCAGCACGCCTATGCATTGTACTTTCAGAGCAGCTTGGCAGCAGCAGCCAGTACATGGCTGTATAGTGCACCCATGTGTGTTTAATAATGGTGCAGAGGCCCATTACGCTCAAAGCAAGAAACATGCAAACATGTGAAATGGGCCATAACAAAGGGAAAGCATCCAAACTGTTAGAATGCCTTGATATGATCACAGGCCATCTGTGAGGTGCAAAGGTGTAATGACTTATGTCTGTCCCTGACAACATGGCCATCTAATTTGAAATAACTTGATCATAATCAAATAGCATGTAAAGTTTGTAATAGGAAAACAAATGTGAGAGCTGTTTACTGCTATATATATTTATCCTGTTAGTGATTGCCAATTAATGACTGCAAGTAATGGAACTGGGCCAAATGGTATATTCAAAGGTACATTTTATATTGATATATTATAGAATCGATCTCTATGACTAGCATTGTAATAAAGGGTTAAAGTCTGAGCCAGGGAACAGCTGATGTCTTTTGTTCCCATAACAGGTTGTAGGACATAATGGCTTGTTGGTGAATGTTTGGATATTGTCGAAATAAGTGTTCATGCAAGAATGCACACAGGCTGCTATTTCAAGAGGAAAAATAAGGCGAGACAGACCTGCATCAGATATGCCACAGCTTTGCATGTTCAATGAGTGGTGGTGTTGTCCAATGGCTGCTGAGTCATCTGGTGGGTCACCAAATTGGCTCAAATTGTTTATATGTAGATAGCTCTATAACCTCTATGTGTGTTATGCAGTTCCAGTTTTCAACTTTTGTTTTGAGTAAGATTCACCTTAGACTCCTTTTCCTTTTGTTCAGAATCATTCAGAATTGATTGCATCCAGGTGGAATCAAGTGCAGGTGTACTCCCATTGACATAGAAGCTGTGGTCCTGGAATTTGCAAACAGCTTGATGAAAAAGGTTATTCAGTCTGCTGTTGATGCATACACACCTGGTCAGCCATGTTCCTGTTGAGTTTGTCGTGGCCAGTCGCTTAGAAAAATTATGTGGCTACTGTCGTCTGTCACAGGCAGGAGCTAGTACAGAGTCAGCGCTCTGTGCTCACAGATGCCTGGAAGTACCATTATGTTTGCAGGTAATTTAACCAAAATAAGACCAATCTTTGTTTGCAACGTCTTGCCCGTGGTTGCAGATAAAGAACCCGAACGTGCCGCACTACTTCACCAACCGAGCGCTGTGCTACCTGAAGCTGCAGAGGTGGGAGCTGGCGTGTGCCGACTGTCGGCGCGCCCTGGACCCCGCCATGGACCCGGGCAACGTCAAGGGACACTTCTTCCTGGGCCAGGCGCTGCTGGAGCTCAACGCTTATGACGAGTCCATCAAACACCTGCAGAGGGGTAAGGTGGGGTGGGGTGGTGGGCGGGGGTTAGGGGACCGCAGGCTATCAGTGTGGCGCAGCTGGGGGCACCTGCAGAGAGGTAAAGTGGGGTGGGGTGGTGGGCGGGGGATGGGAGACCGCCGGCTGTCCATGTTGCGCGGCTGGGGGTATTTCACTGACTTCGAACACCTTGGGTATTGCCTGCAGCGCCCTGTGATCGCAGCCTGTAATTGTTGGAGCGAGGAATTAAGGGAGTCATCGGTAGCTGGTGTATTGCCATCCAGGTATTGCCATGCCACCATCTCTGTATGCCTCATTACTGGTGCCGGCGCAGGTTCCATGAAATGACCCTCGAGCCCTGAAAATCGATGAGTGGCGTAGAAAAACTGCATCACATGAAAGGTTCTTGCTGAACATGCCGTAATGTTTCATACAGTTTCAACATAATTCAACATCGTGCATCTGAAACATTCCACTACGTCAACACAGTCCAAGGTCAAGTCAATTGGAGGTCAAAGGAGGTCAATTCATGCAAATTTTTAATTTCCGAAGCGCCGGTCCGTTGATTCACACGATGGTGGGAACAGCGTTTGATCGAGACCACGAGCACCACTTATCTCTGGATAAGTCTGTCGTAAATCGGCCAGCAAACACAGCTCCCGAACAAACAGCTGCTGGTGCCGATAGTGGAGCGGTTAAGCTGCGCACACGTGAAGCCATATCACCGCGGCAGCTGAGCGCGTCGTGAAGCCCCGGTGACGGCGATGTCAACCGATGGATGTTGTACCTGAAGAAGATCGGATTTTGAGACCCACAACTGTGCTAGCATTAATAGAGTAGTATCGATTGCAGTACAACGCATACCATGGGCAAGGCATAATTATATACTTTATAAAAATATGGGGAAGTGTCCGCTACCTCTCGATAGCACTGACGATTAGCCACTGTGTAGGAGCTGCTTTTATGTTGAAGATGAACGCAGCCTCAACTTCCTTACATTGACAGCGCAGCCTACTCATTGACTTGGGCCTTGTCGTAGTGATCAGGCTACTTCATCATTGGTCGGGCTCTTGTCTCACGGACGGGCTGTATACTCATGGGCCAAACTCCCGAGAGCTGGCCGGGAGAGCTCATGTCTGAGTGGCCGAGATAGCTCGCTGTCTGAGTGGCCGAGATAGCTCATGTCTGTGTGGCCGAGATAGCCCGCTGTCTGAGTGGCCGAGAGCGCTCATGTCTGAGTGGCCGAGATAGCTCGCTGTCTGAGTGGTCGAGAGAGCTCTTGTCTGTGTGGCCGAGAGAGCTCCTGTCTGTGTGACCGAGATAGCTCGCTGTCTAAGTGGCCGAGAGAGCTCATGTCTAAGTGGCCGAGCGAGCTCCTGTCTAAGTGGCCGAGAGAGCTCCTGTCTAAGTGGCCAAGAGAGCTCCGGCCTGAGTGGCCGAGAGAGCTCCTGTCTAAGTGGCCGAGAGAGCTCGCTGTCTGGGTGGCCGAGGTCCGTGCTCCTGGCCCGGCTCCCGTCTCGCTGACGCTGGGCCGCTCCTCTGGCGGCAGCCCACGACCTTGCCCGCGAGCAGATGCAGTTCTTCGGGGACGACATCGCCGGCCAGCTGCGCCTCGTCCGGAAAAAGCGCTGGAGCACGCAGGAGGAGCAGAGGATTGCCGGCGAAATTGAACTCCAGGTAACCAGGTGACGCCGAAACGCGCAAAAGTCCCGATAAATTGCAACCGTAGCCAACGATGTGTCGTCTAGGCGTGGGCTAGCCAGTTTGTCCAAAGCATGGCCCGTTCTTGTTTGTTAGTGTTGATGTGTTTTTACTGTTGTGTAATGCCAATGTGACGATTTGTGTAATGCCAATACCGTTGGAGCCAATTTAGGAAACATTTCTGCGCTCTCGGAATCACGAACATTTGTGATGAACTGATAGGCTTAGAATCAAAGCTAAGTGAACAGAAATGCCGCAGGTGGGCGTAAGTCAAACTGATAAGAATCACATTTTTCCTGAATGTGGGCGAATACTTTGGGCTGCGTAGTCTTTTTTAAGCTGGCCTGTATTCGTTCTCCGACCATGGCCTATATTTTGTGAGTGACGCTGGGTTACGGTGAATATGAGGTAAACGCGGCATGCCGCCGCGCTGCAGTTTTGCGTTTGTTAGCTAGAAACATTTACCAAGCCTACGACCGCCCGTCGCACCAGCCCGAGTCGATGCTATGACAAACTCCAGGCTGGTAAAAGAGTCGCCGAAAATGTCTGGATCAAACTAGTACAAATTCTCTCGAGGGGATACTGCCGACATGTTATCGTACGTGGCTAGGGTGACGGAAAACATGACATACCCAAAAGGAGCGCAGGCTCGCTTGTCAGTTGTTCTTGTACTGTCAGTGGCTTAAGACAAGTTAAGGTACTTGAAGATAAGGAAATGCATCACAGGCTGGCAGGTAAAGTTTGAGTATCATGATACTGGCATTACTGATATGTCTTGTGAGATAGGTAGTGTGCAGGCTATGACATAGCTGCATGACCTACAGCAGTCGATGCGCGCCCAAAATCCCCAGGCTATGACATACACATCTTCCTGGCCTTGGTCTGGTGAAATATGTGGCCTGGCAAGAGATCTGGCCCAGTTCGCTGCCAGGATTTGTGCACACATTGTGGAGTATGACACTGGGTATTTTCACCATTATTTATGTTCCAAAGCACTCTCTTGGTCAAGTCAGTGCCCTATGGTCAAGGCGAGTGGAAGGTGTTGCCATTTTACTACTATTCCACCTTCTCACACAGCACGCGAGATGTCTAACAACGAAGTACGTGTAACGCGTGCCATAGGGAGTACACAAGTCTACATCAGCTCTAGGGATTGTACAGCGGATCTTAACTGTGCTGCAATGATGTCAGTAACAAAATATTACATTTACAGTTTTGTCGTGAAGTTCGTGTTATGCCCATATTAAGAACATTGCACCGGTTACTGATGTTTTGGCCAAACAAAGAAGAAAAACGACTCAGATCTTGTGTTTTGTCATCACATTAAAAGAGCATCAGTAACTCGGCCATGTTGCGTACTGCGCTACAATCGCGGTTGTAAATCACGCGTAGACAACGCAGGATTTTAGTCATAGCCTTCAACTTTGTTTTGATACATAAGTTTTCCTAGCTATGCACATTCTGTTCAGCTAACTCATCTATTCCTAGGAGCTTTTACACCACGCGCTATTTACGTCAAGGGTGGCAGGAAGGCCTCTTGTACTCAGCTACCGAACAATGTGCGATGTATCCTAATTCAGTTGAACAGGTTTCGTTAAAAGCTGGTCAAGGGCTGCCTTTTAAGCTGGCCGGTTGATTCGTTCCTGCTGTCATTGGTGCCTTAGTGACTCAGAGACAACTCGTACTGCTGCAATCCCAGCGCTTTGTCAGTCTAATTTTGTCAATTGAATTGTCAATTGAATCCCAGTCTAACCTGTACCTTTTTGGGCAGTTGTGACCGCGTAGTCCGAGATAGAAATCTGCCAAGCTTTGTGTCAGTTTGTTGCTGTGGACTTGCATGCTTTAGTGCTGCTCAGTGGGATGTGCACCCACGCCAGTAGCGGACTGCAAAGTAACCCTTTAGTAGCCAGGTGTTGTGGGTCCCGCAGATGACTGATGCACCGGACCCGTGGTTCTTGTGTGACGTCATGGGCGCGGTGTGCCCAACGCAGCGGCGTGTCCTGAAGCCCATCATCATCATCTCGTATCTCGTTTTTGGCCAAGCAAACGGCGCGTAAACCGGGCCGCGCCGGGCGTCGTTTCTAGTGTTGCCCGGCTCGCCCTTCCCTGTACAGTGCGGCGAGCTTGTGCCGCACAGCCGTAGTGCCTGCTGTGACATCGGATCGCCCTGAGTGTCTGACGGGGCTCTCCTGCCAGGCACGGCGCTGGTTCACACAGCGTCGTCTGGAGAGCCCGTGGCGCCATGAGCGTTTGACCGGGCTCTCCTGCCAGGCACGGCGCTGGTTCACACAGCGCCGCCTGGAGAGCCCGTTGCAGCCCGAAGACTGCGATTTTGGCCGAACTCATACGATTGTTGGCCGCACGTAACCGCCGTGCGGGCTGTAGTATGGTGGAAATCGCTCTCAATAGACGCGAGCGCCCAGATCGAGCACCGGGCTCAACTGATCGGTCGGTCGATATACCATGTTTGTATGTATCACCATCTTCTCATTTTCACCCGTCCATGCCCGATATTCAGAAGAATTTCGAAATCGACGCACCCTTATTTGGGATGTCTTGTGACAGGTGCCGTTGATTTGGGCCATAGGACCCCAGTCCATAGTCTTCCCTTCCTAACGGCTTCCACACTTTATTTGCTAACCCGTGACTGGACGTATGAAGGCTACACTGACTTTTGACGGCTAGAAATGAACAGTGTGGATTACAAACCCCTGCCGGTTTTGATCCGGAGTAGTGAAACACAAACTTTTGTCCAGAACAGAAAATTTAGGCAAATTCAGAAATTCGAATAACTCCAAAATGTACTTCCACAATGGTGTGTTAGACTTAACAGTAGAAAAAACGTCAGTAAATTGAATTAAAACTCAAATAGGGTGAGAAGTTGTCCTTTGCTATATGGTCTGTACTTAGTTGTTGGCCTACTAATCTTGTAGGGGTGGGAGTAAGGAATCAAAGCAGGCAATACGAGATGAGAGTAGAGGTGGGAACTGACGTTATTGTCGCGGGTGTTTCTTGCCTTACCGTCGGTTGCGGTGTATCCATGTGGTGAGGGTGCGCGTGACTGGTGGCGCGGTGGTGCCACGTCCGCCGCTGACGGCCGGGTGTGGCGCTGCCGCCAGAGCTACCTCAGCCGCCTGTTGCTCGACGACAAGGACCGCCAGGTGGACGCCCTGCTCTCGGACCAGTCAGCCGCCGGCGACGGCGCCGACGACGAAGTCGAGGCGCGCGTGCACCACATCGAGCAGCGCTGCGACGAGCGCATCGCCCAGCTGAACGAGCTGTTCGCCAAGGTCGACGACAGCAGACGGGTAGGGTGGCCCCGGCATGGGGCTGAGGTGGACAACAGCAGACGGGTGGGGTAGCCCCAGCAGGGGACAAAGGTGGACAGCAGCAGACGGGTGGGGTGGTCCTGGCAGGAGGCAGAGGTGGACAACAGCAGACGGGTATGGTGGCCCCGGCATGGGACAAAGGTGGACAACAGCAGACGGTTAGGGCGGCCCCGGCAGGGGCAAAGGTGGACAATAGCAGACGGGTAGGGTAGCCCCGGCAGGGGGAAAAGGTGGACAACAGCAGACGGGTAGGGTGGCCCCGGCAGGGGGAAAAGGTGGTCAACAGCAGACGGGTAGGGTGACCCCGACAGGGGCAAAGGTGGACAACAGCAGACGGCTAGGGTGGCCCCGGCAGGGGAAAAGATGGACAACAGCAGACGGGTAGGGTAACCCCAGCAGGGGCAAAGGTGGACAACAGTGGACGGGTAGGGTAACCCCAGCAGGGGCAAAGGTGGACAACAGCAGACCATTGCCATTGGTTGGTCTGGTCTAGGGCAGCGGGTCCCCTGCTGTCAGTAACAGCAGTTGTTTTGCACGGCCAGTCATCCCCGATCTCCAGGTTCGCCGCCCGCTGCCACCGTAGTCGTACATGTTGATAAATGCGATGCTCTGAAGAAGCGATAGGCTTGTGGAGGAAGATCACACCACGACCAGATATCGTGGTAATGAATGATCTTTGATCGCTGTTCAGTTTTCAGTAACAATAAGCAATAAATAAAATAGGTAAGCAATGCAAAATGAATACGTTTGCAGGGAGTGTGTTCGATGTACCAGAACTCTAAAAAATTGCAGTGTTAACAATTAATTGTAAAATTTGTAAAAATGTAAAACAAGCGTACAGCATGCTCTAAAGCTGATGAGTCGGGTTCGCAGGTTCCGAATTGTTTGAATGGATTAGAATCTTTCGAAACCTTTAGTCGTGAAAATCAGGATGGGAATGATAAAACCGCACTGGAATCCCGGGTCATGTTTTGAGTGCGCAAGTAACTGTACTGAGGCGTGCCCAAGGCCTAAAACGTCTTCAGATGAACCAGATGTGCTCGTGCCGTACGTGTCGGCACTGTGCCGGGCTGACTTGCCTGTCCTGCGTGTTACCGCAGTGCGGGAGTTATCGCCGGACCAAACTGCCGCCCTGTTGGCGGTCACTCGCCAGAAGCGTGGACATGCCTCAGTGCGGCTAGTGGCATGTCCAGAAGCTGATTGCTGGCAGGATTCCAGTGTGGTTTTGTCATTCCATGCGCTCCTGGTTCTGGCCCCATTTCCCGACAGTCCCTCGCGTCGGCCTGCGAACGCTGGCGCCACCTTCCGGCGGACGGGCCATTGCGGGGTCTGGTGGGATCCAGTCACATTTTGTAACGTTTCCATGCAGTGATAAACCCTATTGAGGGAAAAACATCATGTATACACATTGCTTTGTGAGGCGCGTCTCCATTTAGGAAAGCCTGTTCCACGGCCACCTGGCTTTACTGGCCGGTGGCTGTGCCGCGCCGCGAGCGCGCGAGCGCCGCTGCGGCCCCTGCCGGCGACAGCGGTTAGCGGCCGCTCTGATCGGTCAGAGGACCGAGCGGCATCAGCGCATCAGAATCGTCTCGGCTCGGATCGGATCGGATCGGATCGGATCGGATCGGATCGGATCGGATCGGACCGGGTCGGGTCGGATCGGATCGGTCAGCGCATGCTCTGACAGTGCCAGGCTGTATGGTAAAATACTTCCGGACTATTTGTTTGCATGGACGCATCGTTCTCCTGTTACAATATGCACCGAAAAACGATTTCTGGTAACTTTTAGTTGTAATGCGATGTAAGAAGAAACCGTCGTACTGATTGCAGTCATCTTTCTGTGTGATTTCACGGGTGTCGGTCGGAAGACGCCGACATGGTGGTATAACTTATGTGCCAACCCCTGTCGGCCATCGCCCTGCTCGCACCGCCTCCGGACCGCAGGCTCCAGCTCGTTGATGAAGCTGGTTGACTTGCCTGTGTATCTGACAGGGAAATACATCCCATTGACGTCGTCGTTCACAACGCTCTTTAGAACAGTGACTTTCTGTCCTCCAGAAAAGGGACGTGCCCGACTACCTGTGTGGCAAGATCAGCTTCGAGATCCTGCGAGATCCCGTCATCACGCCGTCCGGCATCACCTACGACCGGAAGGACATCCAGGAGCACCTGTCGGTACGAGCTTTATGTGCGGCGTGCGGCAAACGCACTGCTCGTGCTGCGATGGCGGGCGGACCCCTGGCTGAACTAGTACGCTTTCACCAACTACTGTTCACCACCAGTAACCGGGACTACGCTCGCTCGTTTGTACTGCGTTTCTTACCTGGCCCCTGCGTCCGTTTTCTTTCGCATTGCTTGGGAGGGGCAGGTAGGGCCATAAGTTACGCCTTTATTTTCGAGTAAGGTTGTCGGCACAGGCTCGTGTCTCGCGAAGCGTCTGACTGGAAGCGCTCCTGGCCATCTGCCCTTGGGTGGCGGGTCGGAGGAAGATACGAACATGCCACCCTGCGCAGCGTGTGCTGGTCCCGCCGCCACGGTGGTCCGCCGTGGCGGGCACCCCGGCGCCTTTGGACTGGATTGGCCACGTAGCGTGCATGCATTCGTTAAGTGGCGTCAAGAAAGATCGGTTCTCAGTAAAGCTGATCCGGGGTCCCTGTGGCCCCACGTGTGGTACCAGCTGCCGACTGCTGTCAAATCGTTTGCCGCCTTCCTTTTGTTTTTCCGCGGTCACATTGTGACAGGCAATTATTTCCGGTGGTCAGACACGCAACGTCAACATCTGACTACCCCGTTCTGTGTGGCGTATGGATGGGCGCCGTCTTTAAAAGCCGCTAATTGGTGTGTTACCTCGGCCAGCGTGTCAGCCGGGGTTCTCCGCCCCAGGGCTCGTTGGACTGCTGTCGGACGGTGAAGGCCGTGTGTTTGGGCCCCTGGCTAGCGCGGGACGCCCCGCCCGCTGGCGATGGCCGTTGTGAACGGGTGGGTCTGGGACGACCGTGGCCGGCGGTGGCGCTCAGTATTGATCACTGGACCTGACCGGCGGCTCTGTCGCTCTGTCCGTCGGCAGCGCGTCGGACACTTCGACCCGGTAACCCGTGCCGAACTGACAGCCGACCAGCTGGTGCCCAACCTCGCCATGAAGGAGGTGATCGACTCGTTTCTGCAGGAGAACGAATGGGCCCTGGACTACTAGGATGATTGGACCAGTGACACGGGCGGGGGAGGAGGAGGAGGAGAGGAGAGAGGGCGGCAGTCGAGTGGGAAAAGTCCAAGCTCTGGCGTCAAGTTCCCATTGTCGTGTGGAGCGATGGCCTAGTGGTGTGTGCTTGGCTCGATTTTTGTGGTTGAAGAAGCGCCATACTGCAAGATCCAACGGGCGGGCAGCGGTCCGCGCTCGGCCGATCTCCGCTGGTGTGGCGCGGGTTCGGCTGTGGCCGGACCGTCGATCTCTACCGTGTGATGTACTGCTGGCTCGGAGGCCGGCCGCGGCTGCCGGCGCCACGGACCGGACGTGGTCTGCGCATGCGCCGGCTGGTGCGAGGTGCGCTCCCACCGCCGGTCGGCCCGCGCGGGCCCGTGCACTCCCGGCTGGCGCGCCACCACGCCTCGCTGGGGTGGGAGAGGAGGGGGGCGTGCGGACCGGCCCCAGACACCGGAAGCCTGTTAGGGAATAGCACGATGCCTGTTGCCGGCGCAGCCCCCCCCCCCCCCCCCACACACACACAGAGAAAGCACGCCTCGGCGCGCGTGCGATGGCCTGTGGGCCGGCTGCTGGGTGATCCACGGGCGGTCGAGTGTGAGGAAGGAGGCCGAGCGTCGGCGGCGCTCTGGCGTCCCGCGTCGGCCCATGTCCGGCTGGTCCCGCGTCGGCCCATGTCCGGCTGGTCCCGCGTCGGCCCATGTCCGGCCGGTCCAGCGTGGCCCATGTCCGGCTGGTCCAGCGTGGCCCATGTCCGGCTGGTCCAGCGTGGCCCATGTCCGGCTGGTCCAGCGTGGCCCATGGCGGCGTGCGGACGTCCAAGTCAAGTTCAGTCGGCGTGATCGGTTTGGCTGGCTATAAGGGTCTCAGGAGGCATGAAGAGACGCAATCGATGTGTTATGGGTGTTCATGATGCTTGATTCGCGTTAATATTAGTTCGCCCGCGACATACATTGATAGTGTGCTTGCGGCGGAATGTTCAGGCTCAGATGGTGGCAGACCGTGGGCTCCAGGACAGTGTTCCGGCTGTCATGTTAAAGAGTTATGGATGACTGGTGAAACGTATTGGTTAGACCAAGCCAGCTCACGAGGTCATCGTGTCAATACACAGCCGTGCGGCTGCAGCCTACGAATGTCACATTACACAGCAAAATGCTCCCATCTATCATCGTCCCACCTCTCCCCTAATGCTTAGATGGACTGGCCCGGGGTGTCCATGTCGCAGCATTGTACGGTCCAGGCCTCTGCAGTCCCGTCTGGCCAAGGGCCGAAGGCAAAATCACACGGTGAAATGGAACAAAACATCGTGAGTGCTAACCCATGGAAACTGTAAGGAAAACATTCGTTGAACACAAAAGTGAAGCAACACGAGTGTCTTCACGTTCGGTGCGACCAAAACCTGCTTTTCACTTCTTTCACACTATCGTGGCTCGAGTACGACGAACTCTCCTGATTCATTTGACATGTTTTTTTCATAGTGTAAGAATTCGCCAGTTTTGATCTGAAAGTACCGCTTCCGCTACCGCTACTGGTACTGCTGAAATGAATGGATTGTCTTCGTCCTAGAATGTGGGAAACATTCAGATTCCCGAGTGTCCTGCCCCCCCCCCCCCTCCCCCCTCCCCACCCACCAACAAATATCTTTGCCAGGCTAGCAGCACATCTCTCAAATTCTAGTTTGAAATTCCTGGATCTTTACAATCTGGCTGAAAGTTGGTAGGCTGAAAGAACTTGACATTTCAAACTTACGTCTCGAAACCAAAACAAACTAAGGTGGACATTCAACCCTTATCTATGTTATCGGTCAAAGTTCATGGCCAAAAGGGGTGGACACTTTCGATCGGGCTCGACATCTGCAGACTCTAGACCAAGACCCAAACCTTTGAAAACATAAAAAGCTTATATGGGCACCCAAAACATCCTGAGCTGGTGTGGGCCAAAAGTCGAGGCCATGGCAGGATTGGCGCTGGCCCCGCCACGCCTGGGTGGGCGCCTGTGACGCTCCGCTCTTTATTGTCTTTCCTGTTCGTTTCAAGCCAGTGCATTTATGCAACACACCTCTGGATGTCCCCAGCCACTTCGGGAAGCGGTGTGCCATTCTGGAGGCGTGCTTTCAGTGCGGGAGAATTAACGCATCGCAAGGGGCTTTATTGGGCGCCGTGATTACCTCGCCCCAGGGTTTGCTTATACAGAAGGCACACATGCACGGATAGATATTCTTACGCATTTTAATACTGCACGAGCGAACGTTTATCTTTGACAACACAGATCCCGACGTTCTACGTCCCAACAAACGAGGAGTGGCAGCTGCCTGTAGCTGCTCGTGACCTGTTGCTGAACCAACCCATCACTCGACCGACTCGCCCCAGATCTAGTCCCTCTCTCAACCACATCATTCCTACTAAACCAGAACTCGCAACCCCATGCAGGCGTGACCGCTTGCAACATAAGCGATCACGTCGTCTCAGTGGCCGTAACAGTCGCGCGAACTCGACACGTGTCTCGGTGGACCGGCCGACAGCTTACACGGGCTCTTCTCGTCCGCCGGCCCGAAGCGGTGGGTGCGCCGGTCTCGTCCCCCACGGAGCAGACTCTCCGCCCGCGTCGGCCGCGTGCGTGCAGTGAGACCCCGTCCAGCGCCCGGCCGCGCTCCTGGACCTGCCGCCACCCGGCAGCGGATGGTCTCGCCGCGCGCTGGCGGCACAGACGGCATCCCCGTCAACATGCTAAGAATATCCTTCCAAGTTGTGCGCCCTCATCTCTTCAGACTACGAGCTACGAGCAGCTCGATTGCCAACCATGAGATGCCGTGTCAGTGAGGGGCCGCCATAGCCGTACCACCGCATAATAAAGGCACCGCTACTCCTGGCGATCCGACCAATTGCCAGTGTTCTTTACTTTTCAGCCGACAATGTTTGCGGAGGGAAGAGCGTCGGCTTAGGTCTGTAATGGGGACCGGGTAATCAGCTAACGAAACGTCGCTGTCAGGCTGGGTATATCATCCCAATGACAAGTTTTATGCTCCTCATGACGTCACTGGTAGAAGTTTGAAAAATGGACTTCTTTCACTTCTCACATCAAAAGGACTCACAAGCCACAACATTGAAAACCGAGCAGGTATTCGTAATAACACGTGACCTGCATCCAACTGATGACGTCACTGGGACGAATGAATCGGTCATCTGTTGAAAACTTTCAGTGGGACACGTTTTTCGGCTGTCTTTTCCCGCTGCTCACGACGTTCCGGGAGACTGTTACGGTGTACGTGCATCTACCTACGTACTCGTGGTTTACATTCTTATTCCATTTGAAAAATAAATCAAGAAAAACATAAGCTGCGTTTTGCCTACTGCTCATGACGTCACGTGACACGAGTTATGGTCTTCTTTTCGTATCGCTGGGGAACCTGATACTAGCGGAAGACCGCCTTTCCCAGAAGGCTTCCTCAAGAAACTACTGCAAGAAGGTCCAAGTGATCCATGAACAAACCACCTTCAGGCATGTCCACATTAAGCTGCCAATGAGGCCGGAAAAAGGCATGAACTGACTCAGTGTTTTCGGCTGCCGGCATTATCTGTCTCTAACAAACATTCTAAGACCGTGTCCATCGGTGCAACCACTGATGGACACCATTTTGACACGATTTAGACGGCAATGGTTTCTCCTAGACTTGAAACGCGGATTCCGTGAGTGTTATGGCACCCTCACCATTAGACACTCTGAGAATGTATGTAGAGCATCAACGTTATGGCAATGGATGGGAAGAATCGACTACGATATGACTATAAGCACCTTTGCTTTCTGAGACATTCCTCCGTCTATGTTTCGGGTGCCAACGCCAGATTTTTTATTACATGTGCAGCCCAACTCTTCAATTTACCTTCCGGCCATCTGCTATGAATTGTCTAATTTCCATGCGTGGCGTCGCTTTGCTGCGTTTGGAAACGATTGCAGGGTGTTTGAAATCATTCCTGAACGAAATGTGTTTTGGGTGAGTCCACTTCAAGTTAATCATATGGCCGCTTATGGGAATAATCGTAGTTTTTACCTCTCGGCCGTCAGCCTTATTCACCCATTTCAAACGTGCCGATACAGCTCCAATCGTTGCAACTGCCAACAGCACCATTTTAAGAGTACGCAGATAACTTCCCTCATATGGTGGAGAAAAGGATCTTGTCGTTCCTGAACAAGATGACATTCCACTAAGCCAATCCCGACTTACCAATAGAGTCGTTCATAGGCATAAGCGGACTGCGTTTCGGCAGCCAGCATTATTTGATCAGATCTGCGTGCAACCACGGCCTCCGAAGCACATACAGCTAACATTGAGGCCGACGCAGTACCTAGTCGTCTGCGAGCATGAACAAACGTTATTTTGCAGCTATAGGCATATACCTCCCATGATACGTGTTTATTCGACAAATGAAGGACAATGGTTGTATATGGCGAGGCAGAGGAATTAAGATATCCTATGGCAATGTGCCTATGGCTCCTATGCCGAGGAAGGTTCGAGTGCAACGGCATCCCCATTTTCAGAGAATGCAGAGCATTAAACTGATGGAAGTTTATGGGAAGAATCGCCAACAATGTGACTAGCAGCACCCTCCCTTTCTGAAACGTTCCTCTGTGTATGTTACGGGTGCCAGCGGCAGACCTTTTATCACTTTTGCAACCAAGCTCTTCAACTTACCTTACGGCCGCCCGCTTTGAAATCTCCATTTGCACTGCATGACATAGCTTTGCTGCCTTTGGAAACAACTGCAAGGTGCTCAAATGATTCCTGAACATAATGCCACTAGCGTGACCTGGGCTGTGGGATCCATTTTAAAAACGGGGACATGGCTGGGGCCTGCGATTTACATTGACTGGGGCCCCTTGAGTCAACTAGCGGCCTACTGTGTCGGCCAGGGACTCACCGTGACGTGCAGTGAAACACCACTTCATGGCATATGCATAAAGCCACAGACACGCAATGTTGCAGGCTCGCATGCGGTTAGGTATTGCGCCGGCCTAAATACGAGCTGTCGTTTCGTGTCTTATAAGCCGTGACGCCCCTCGGCAATAATCGGCCGAGGCTAGAATGCTGTTATTGCCCTGACCACGATGCTCGAATTTCACATCAGCACATGTCTCATGGTATCTGCACATAGCCACATACACAGCTTGTTTCATTCTCGCATACGGTTACATATTGTGTCGGCTTAAACGCATGCTGTTGCGATGTGCCCAGCAGATCGTGGTGCTCCCCGAGCACGACCTGCTAATGATGAATATTTCAATTGCCCTATTAAACAAAAGTGGTTTCCGGTTGTGATTGTACCAATAAAACTAAACCGCAGCGTTTGATATGGACAGAGCATGCTGGCGGTCGAAACGTAGAGGCCTGTGTTTTAAGCCTATCATCGACCCTATTGTTAACTCTCGTTCTACTGTGCGCTTGTTGATATGTGTATCGCTTTTCCGCGTGTCATTTATGACCGTTGGACATGAGTTTTTAGGTAAACATACATTTCATGGTATATTCATTTAGCCGCATCCACACCGTGTTCACGCTCAAAGGCTCGTGTGGGTATTACGTAGGCCTTAACGCACGCTCTGGTTATGTGCCCTGGAGGCCGTGGTACTGCCCGTGAAAAGCTAGCCGGTGACAGAATATTTCAGATGCTGTTTGAACAGCTTTATAATGATGTCCACTTGTCGTTGCACCGATGGAAACTATACTGACACGTTTGAAATGGACAAATGATACTGGCGGCCGAAACGTAGTCCGCCCACACCTATCACCAGCCCTGTTGTTAACTCTGCTTCTCTGGTGCGCTCGTTGGGATGTATGCTGCTCTTCCGTGTGTCAAATGTGACCGTTGGACTTGATTTTTCAGGTAAGCATACCTTTCATGGTATATACATTTAGCCGCATGCACACCGTGTTTCACACTCGAAGGCGTTTGGGTATTGCGTAGGCCTTAACGCACGCTCTGGCATGTGCATTCTTGTATAGGTCAATGGTATAGGCTATTGTCGTTGTCATATCTATGGCCATTGTCACTTTCCTTGGGCGTTGAATTGTTGACACATAACATACTTGTGCACCCCGTTCTTCATATATTTGGAATGGTAGAATATTTTGCA